ACTGTGGAGTGGGAAGCGAAAGCTTCCAAATACCGGGAAAGAGATGCAAGTCTCCACGCTGGACAACCAGGCCAGCGACCACCCTTCCCCATGGGAAGAACAGTAGACCTACTGTACTCTACACCTGAGCCAAGTAGCTCAGGAATGCAACAACCCGCTCCCACCCAGGGAGCGCCCACTCCATCTGTCATATCCATCCCTGGTCATCAACTTCCAATCCCTCTGATCCCTCCGTTCCACTTCCGCTCCTTCCTCACTAACCTCAGAGCTCCCATATTCTGCAATCCCCTCGGTACCCCTCGATGGTCACCACCCCCTCCTTTCAATTATTACCTATGCCTCCCTAAGTACGGAGCCCCGAAGGCTTCCGGACAGCTCCGACGTCCGCTAGCGCACTCCTGCCTCCGCTGGGCAATACACTTGCTTGCCCTGCAAGCCCACCTTCGGGCCTATCCCTCCTTTCCGTTTCTGGGTTATCGCCTGCCTTTCCGCTAACCCCGTAACCCGACTTGTTGGTAATATTCAATCAGCTAATGTCTAAACCCCGTTAGCTCCACTCCGCTCGGCTCTGCCATTTGCGGACCCGCCCTCGCTGTAACTATATATACTACACTTGTACATAGGTTACACTCCAGTAATAAAATCGACTAGAGTTTACCCTCTTCAGTTCTGGTGGCCAGTTAGTAAGTTAGGGCATGGACATGTTTACTAGGCACAGCGCTCCTGGCATAAGTCACTGAGGCCGAAGCCCTCCATCACGGAGACACTCCTTCGTCTCGACCCGGTCTCTGACACCGTCGAGCCCACAGCTCGACAATGTAGCCCAGGCTACATCATCGCATCCAACACAGCAATCGGATGTGTCATATCCATCCATGGCCATCACCCTCAACCACCTCTGCTCCTCTGGATTACCTCTGCTCCTCCACCACTAACCTTGGAGCCTCTGGTTTCTGCAATCACCTCCGACCCCCCCGATGGTCACCACCTCTCCAATTCAATATATTACCTACACCTCCCTAAGTACGGAGCCCCGAAGCTCTCCGGACAGCTCTGATGTCCGGTAGCACATTCCCGCCTCCGCTGGGCAATTCACTTGCTTGCCCTGCAAGTCTACCTTCAGGCCTATCCCTCCTTTCCACTTGTGGGTTATAACCTGTCATTCCGCTAAACCTGCAACCCAACTCGTTGGTAATATTCAGTCAGCTAACATCTATCCCCATTAGCTCTGCTCCGCTTGGTCCTGGTATTCATGGGCCCACCCTCGCTGTAACTATATATACATAACTTGTAGATAGGTTACACCCTAGTGATAAAATCGACTAGAGTTGATCCCCCTTTTTAGTTCTCGTTGCCAGTAAGTAAATTAGGGCACAGATGTGTAACTTGGCACAGCGCTCCTGGCCTGAGTCGCTGAGGCTGAAGCCCTCTGCCATGGAGACAACTCCTTCATCTCGCTCCAGTCTCTAACAGGATGTCCAGATGAACAACCCAGAGGAAAACCCTCCTCCAGGGCAATAACTCTACCCTTGAGGAAAGGGAAAGTGACACAGTAATATGCCATTGAGGCGCCCATGAAAACACCTTCCCCCAACTCAAGGCCCTGCACACAATATCGTATGCAAGGAACTGCAAGTAACAATTGCGGAAATCTCTACTTCGCCGAAAAAAACCCACATCCACCACCACTCGTGTGTAAACACCAATTACACACAAATCCTCATGGAACAAGTGAGCAGGAACACAACATACAATCTTTGGGTCGAAATTCATTTTCAAAAAACTCCTTCTCTTCATTACTTTCCTCTCTGCGATACCCATGTATCGGCGTTCACTTCAAAGTGACGGCCCCACACTGATTTATCCCCTCAATTTTTTCACTGACATGTACAAATCGCCCACTTTAAAGTGGCAACAATAAAACACTCATTGATAATCTCAAACTCAATGTAACCCAATTTTTTTTAATTTTATTCTCTTCATCATTAACCTTGTATGCATCGCTGTCAGAGACCAGATTCGAGATGAGGGAGAGTCTCCGTGATGGAGGGCTTTGGCCTCAGCGACTTATGCCAAGAGCGCTGTGCCTAGTGACACGTCCGTGCCCTAACTTACTGACTGGCAATCAGAACCGAAGGGGGGTAACTCTAGTTGATTTTATTACTGGAGTGTAACCTATGTACAAGTTGGATATATATATGGTTACAGCGAAGACAGGTCCGCAAATGGCGGAGCCGAACGGAGCGGAGCTAATGGGGTTAAACATTAGCCGACTGAATATTACCAACGAGTCGGGTCGTGGGGTTTAGCGGAAAGGCAGGCAATAACCCAGAAACGGAAAGGAGGGATAGGCCCGAAGGTGGGCTCTGCAGGGCAGGTGAGTGTATTGCCCAGCGGAGACGGGAGTGCGCTAGCGGACGTCGGATGTTACGGATACGGAGTCTCCAACGACCATATCCGTCACATGGTCAAAGACTTCCCCTCTCTATCGCTCCTCTCCTCTTTCTCCCTTCCGTCCTCTATCCCGATACCCTATCCTCCTTACCCGTTCTACCCCTTTCCCCCCCCCTCGTGCAAAGCTTTCCCCATTGGGGTTTTGGTGCTGGCCGAGGTTGTTTGTGTTTCGCAGGATTTCCCGCGACCTTACCATTTGTAGATAGTCACGTGTCTTGTACGGAAACCGCCGAAGGCGGTTCCCGCTAACTAACAACTGCTCTACAACTGTCTCGTGTACCGTCTTCTGTAACAACCCTCCCTGTGACTCAACTGAACCCGTGTGACTGTACAACTCTCAATATGTCTTATAAGTCTGGTTATATCGAGTCCTCTAACGGCCCTCGCCGTGAGAACTCGAGGTCGAGAGTCGAAGACTCTCAACATGTGTATTGTCCTATTGAATCTGTACCCTATGGGTCTTCATCACCCCGCTCTCCCCCCAGTACTCAACATACGACGTCACCTCACGATCATGGAGATTGTGAATACCTTGAGGCCCACCTTCCCGTGATGCCGGCACGTTCGCTACACGAACGCCAAGTCGCCGCCCATCCACTGTCTGTTCCCTCCTTCGCCAGTCATCATGTCTCCCCGCCAACGGTACATTCCCTTTGGGAACGCCAAGTCACCGAAGGCCCTGCTAGTCAATCCTCATTGCACGCTTATGATATCAACCTGCTACCGGCACGTTCGCACTGTGAACGCCAAGTACCCGATGGCAACTATATGAAGTTCTCACCCATCTCACAAGTCGCGACCTCGCACACGGTACGCTCCCTTGAGGAGCGCCAAGTACCCGTGGCTGACCCGTCCGTCCTGGCATCTCCGACTGCCTACCATCAATCCCTTAATAGCTCACTACATCACCAATCGCGATCGATGGGAACTCGATCGTCCACCCCCAGGCAAGACTGGGATCACTCATCGATTACATATCCTGTTATGGTACAGACCAGATATGACCTCACTCATCCCACTATAAGAACGGATCGAGGAATGGGGAATTTCCCCCATCCCCGTAACATCGGAGCTGTCCGGAAGTCTTCGGGGCTTTGTACTTAGGGAGGCGTAGGTAATAAATTGAAAGGAGGGGGTGGTGACCATCGAGGGGTGCCGAGAGGATTGAGGAATACAGGAGCTCCAAGGTTAGTGAGGAAGGAGCGGAGTTAGACCGGAGGGATCGGAGGGACCGGAAGTCGACGGCTGGGGATGGACATGACAATCGCAAATGCAATGCAAGGGGGGAGAATGTCAGGGCAATAGCCCTGAACCCTGAGCCATATGTAATTACAAGATACATATAGTCACGTGGGTAAGCGGCAACCTCCGGTTAACTGCTTACACACACCGTAAAATACACATCTTTGTATCACTTATGGCTCTGTGTGCTGAGCTACCCACTGAGACCTCACACTCACTGAGCATAAAAAACTGTAAGGTTGTAATCATGGGTAGTATCTACCTGAAGCATGTAGCTCACTCATGTTGGTTGCCTTATTCCCAGTCTGTCAAAAGATTATGCTGTAACAAGCTGTAATTTCAATGGGGGAGTAGGTGTCAGGGCAACTGCACCTGACCATACAACCCCAGAGAACCACCATCCCTGACATCCCCCACTTCCCTCATTTTCCCATCTTTACATATCTCTCTCAACCACAGCCCACATGCAAACCCACAGGAAAAATCACATGGGTCAAGGTGAGCAACTCACCTTAACCCATGTGACACCTTTTCCGAGTCATGGGAACATGCTCGGCTTCTACCCATAGTCACATTATGAACTGTACAGTACATTTCCCTTTTATAGCAGCCAAGCGGGGAATAGGGAAACTTACCCTTCTTCTCAGCTCAATCCCTGCTTAGTCCCTTCAGGAGCTGAGGACAGGGTCTAGCACCCAGGCACCCGGAACATTGCACACACCCAGCCCTGAGGCTGGGCTGTCCTCGAGCGAGGACTGAGCCCTGACAATAGGCTAAAAAGCCTTTCTACACCCCACACCACTTTATATACATGAGTTAGTGTACACCAAAGTCAGCATATACCTGCAGCTTGGTAAATAGTAGACAAGTGTGTGAAAGCACACTATTACAATAACTTAGTCAAAATGTATATACAAGATAATGTTAATGAACAAGAAATGAAGAGGAAGAAGCATGTGCAGCCTATCCAGGCCTTACATGTAGGTTTCATCTGCAAAGGCAAGGCCTTCCTTCCTTTTTAATTCAGGTGTGTGGACATCCATGTCATTTGCAATCATCACTGAAATGGACACTTTGCTTCATATGCATCATGATGGTCTTCATGAGACTTGAGGCACCAAACACCTCACTGGTGGATTTATCAGGGTTCCCCAAGATGTTGAAGGAAGGTTCTGCACCTATTTCAGCTAGGAGACAAATCACTCATACCTCTGTTTAATGGCATTGGGTTGATATGGGCTGGAAGGATATGAGTAAGTTATTTGTGCCTTTCCTGCATAAACCTTGTACCTGAATGCCTTATCTCATTGTACTAGGAACTTCCCCATGGCCAAGGCACTATCCTCTGTGAGGGGTAGGCCCATAGCTTTGACCATTTCTGCAATCATTGGTGAGCTCATAAATGCGATAGTTGAATCCTGAGGGGCAAGCTTGTCATCTGCTATGAACCCCACTAATGCCACCCCAACAGGATGAATGGAGCCGAGGGCAGCAAGCTATCAGCAAAAATTTCAGTACAATCAATTGTGATAGTTACTGGATTCTGTACTATACCTGAGCAGCATATTGTCCCATTATTTACTGCAACAGATAAAGGCCTTCATTTGGTTGAGCCTCCCTCTCATCCTTCAATAAAACAAGGTCCCCACTGTCAGAGACCAGGTTGAGACGAAGGAGTGTCTCCATGGCGGAGGGCTTCAGCCTCAGTGACTTATGCCAGGAGCCCTGTGCCAAGTAACACGTCTGTGCCCTAACTTACTAAACTGGCAACCAGAACTGAAGGGGGTAAACTCTAGTCGATTTTATTACTGTGTAACCTATGTACAAGTTGAGTATATATATAGTTACAACGAGGGCAGGCCTGCAAATGGCGGAGCCAAGTGGAGCGGAGCTAATGGGGTTAGACATTAGCCGATTGAATATTACCGACGAGTCGGGTTACGGGGTTAACGGAATGGTAGGCGATAACCCAGAAACGGAAAGGAGGGATAGGCCCAAAGGTGGGCTTGCAGGGCAAGTGAGTGTATTGCCCAGCGGAGGCGGGAGTGCGCTAGCGGACGTCGGAGCTGTCCGGAGGCCTTCGGGGCTCCATACTTAGGGAGGTGTAGTGTCACGGCCGTGCATTCCGGCCCGTTAGCCGCCCGCCCCGATGCCGCCCGAGCCCGTTACCGCTATGCGAGCGTGAGCGCGAGCCCCGACCTCAGCCCTATCCTCCCTGAGGACCCCCTGCTCACTTCCCCGCTTGCCCCTAGGCTCCCCTGCACCTGGCCGACTCCCCCACAGCCACACCGACCTCCCTGCCCCGAGTCTGCCTCTGGTACCGACCTAGCGTGACTCCGCGACATCGCCTACTCCGCTATGATACCATCGCCGCTATCGCAGCCCTACACCCCTTCGTTTATTTATCTGTTATTGTTTGTTTTGACCCTCGGTCATTGCCGGCCGCGGTGCGGCCAACCCCGCTCTTTGTTCCTAATTGCTTCCGGACCCTTCGGCCTTCGGCCCGGGTCCGCTTCTATTCATTCCACCTTCATATATATATCCTGTATACTACATTATAGTACCTTAGCTCTAATATCAACTTGACCACGACCCCAAGCCCTGACCCCAACAAGGCAGCCCCAGTAAGTTCGAAATGAGGGCCAAGAGACAACTAGGGGGCACAGCACTCCCTTTAGAGTTGCTGAGGCCAAATGCCCTACCCTCGGGCCTTGTCTGAGGCATCACGGCCATCGCGGCCCTTAGCGGTCCGCATCGGCGACCTTCGGTGCCCGACCCCGGATCAGTATCTAACATGTAGGTAATAAATTGAAAAGAGGGGGTGGTGACCATTGAGGGGTACTGAGGTGATTGCGGAATACGGGAGCTCCAAGGTTAGTGAAGAAGGAGCAGAGGTAGACCGGAGGGGTCGGAGGGAGTGGAAGTCGATGGCCAGGGATGGATATGACATCCACAATTTATCAGAATTCTATCGTAGAACACATTTGCTTCTTCTGCCTGGTCAGGGTACTTCCTATCGATATCCTGTTGCTGTAATGTAAGGAGTGGTAACCCCACCCTTTATTCATTATCTTATTGTATATTTGTCTCGATTTAAACATGTATAAACAATGTATATACAATAACGTGGGAATTTGGGAAAAGGAACAGAACTCCTTTTCCTCCCCATCATTGATAATTAAAGCTCCATACAGCTCAACTTTATTGACAACCTGAGGATTGAGGAGAACTGGGGTTGGAACCTACACCAACCCCTTACAGGTAATTTATGCAGGCATGCTGGTCAATTCCAGCTAGGAAATGATTGGTCCCTAATATCTTGCAAGTATATGGTTAACTTACAGTGAAGCTTAAGGGGACTTCTCCTTTTCTGTGCATAGCCAGCAATAGGGAAGAAAAGCAGCTCACTAATAGGAGGGCTAATGTGGAAGCTCAGTCTCCATGAATGAAGAACTGAGGGGGAAAAGGAAATTCAGCAAAACAGTATATACAATTATATACACAATGTCATGAGGTGAATACAGAAGAAAGAAGGATCATGTGAGGTTGGTTGGTAAGTCATGGGTCGTTGTTACTCCAACATGCCCACTCAATGCATGTTGACTTTACCTTAGACCCAACTCTGATCTAAACTTCGCATATTTTACCTGTGGCAGCACTTTGGTGAATATGTCCACAACCTGATTGGCTGTAGGAATATATTAAAGCTCCAAGATACCATTCTCGATTTTCTCGTGGATCCAATGTTGTTGCACATCAATATGTTTTGTTCAAGTGTGTTAGAACAGGCAGATTCGGACGACTCCAGAGTGGAATCAGAGACTTAGCGTGGAAGGACCTTGGCCTCAGCAACTCATGCAGAGCGCTGTGCCATTGCTGGTTGTCCTAGGGGTCCCTAATTTCGGATCTAGCAGAGGGGAAGTCTCTTGGGGGGAAATCCAGTCGATTTCGGACTGAGGTTACAAGTTACTATGTACATTGTATATAAGGAGGGGTCCGGAATCAAAAGGAGCAAGGGTACTCTGAAAGCAGACAAAGGGAGCTGGAAGGAGGAACAACACTGAGGGTCAAGGGTTTGACTCAATGGTGTTTCCCAAAGGAGGAGTGAAGGGCCAAGGCCCAAGGAGGAAGGAAGGAGGATGGGAGTGGGGAATGGCCAGCTGACTGAATAGAAAGGAAGCAGCAGCCCAAATAGGAATGAGGGAGAATAGCGGAATTGAATGGAGCAATGCAATAGTTGCAAGGTCCGACGTAAGTCCGGAAAGTCCGAACTCGGAAGTTAAACTCCGGAATATTGGCAAACATAATTAAATGGAATGAGCTAACCAATACAATGGGTATAAGCGGAGGTGGGGTCAAAGTCCGAGGTCGGAGCTAAGACCGGAGGTTCCAGAGACAGAGACACAACCGGGATTCCTGTCAGAACCGTGCGAAGGTTCGCCGAGGGTAGCCATAGGCAACCGAGCGTTGCCCGCTAGTGGTAAAGGCGTCCTACACCCGACCGAGCTTTAGCGAGGGATAAACCCCACCGATCTCGCGGCCGAGGCTACTTAGGCGAGTGAGCCGGGATTTCGGCTTCAATGACTCTAGGAGGAGCGTTGCGCCTCATTCTCGACGCGGTCCCGATACTTCAGAAGGTCGGAGGTCTCACGGGGACAGAGGTAAGCTTTAGGGGGTAATTCTAGTTGATTTCGAACTACAGTACAAGCATTAGTTACAAGCTGTATATAAGCGCTAGGGAACTGAACAGGGAACAAGTCGCCAGATCTCGCGGAGATTGCGGGCGGAGAAAAGAAGGAGGAAAACAAACAAAGAGCACGTGTTCAAGACAGCGAAGGTCAAGCATGACCTTCGCCGCGAGGTAACAAGGTGCAGCGAAACATGGGACAACAGGTCGCGGCGCTCTGCGCCGCTAGGTCGTTCAACGACAATCAAGAGAGGGGTTGTGGAGAGGTGGCGGGAAGTGGTTAGACGGCGATGGGCGGCGAGCGGAGTGTGCGGGGAGTGTTTGGGCGTGGGAGAGGGTCAGGGAGGAGGTCGTCTGGCCCCGGGGAACGCCGGGTCGTGACAATTCCGGAGCGGAGGTCTGGAGTTGGGAGCATAGGTGTTGCATGCTCATTGGGAGGTGTCGAGGTTGAGGTCAGACCTGGAATGTTCCAGAGTCGGACCAAAGGTGGTGTTGGAGCCGGAGGTGGGGTAACCTCTTGGAAGTCGGCAAGGAGGAGGTGATGGAAGGGGTGATGTTCGTTCCGAGATGAGTATCGGAGCAGACAGAGATAGGGTAGGAGAAGGACAGGAGGGTGGAGGTGGCATGAGGGGTGAGGGGAGGTGTGGTGTCAGGTCCGAAGGTGAATATCGGAACGGACAGCAGTAGGGTAGGACTCTGGAAGTCAGGTTCGGAGTTCCAGGAGCCCGGAGTGGGGGTCGGGATTGTATGGATATGACAAAGTGTGGAACACAGGATTTTTGGCAATAGCAAGTGCTGATTGGTTTTCAATGAAGATTTTGACTGGGATTTCATCGGAAAACATCCCAGAATCATTGAATAGGTTGTCAAGGTATGTAGCTTCTTTTCCAGCATGTGTTGTGGCCATGTACTCAGCCTTGTGCTTGATAAAGCGATTGTTGGTTGCTTCTTTGAAGACCATGCTATTGTGGCACCACCGAAAATAAAGCAATAACCTGACACTGATCTCCTTGTGCTAGGATCTCCAGCCCAATTGGCATCAGAATATCCCCATACCCCCTCTTTCAACCTCTTTGCATTGAATGTCAAGACTGAGTTGCATGTCCCATTCAGATATCGGTACACTGTTAGACACTGGTCCGGGGTCGGCACCGAGGGTCGCCGTTGCGGGCCGCTATAGGCCGTGATGGCCGTGATGCCGCGAACAAGGCCTGGGGGTAGGGCATTTGGCCTCAGCAACTCTAAAGGGAGTGCTGTGCCCCCTAGCTGTCTCTTGGCCCTCATTTCGGACTCACTGGGGTTGCCTTGTTGGGGTCAGGACTTAGGGGTCGTGGTCACATCGATATTAGAGCTAAGGTACAATAAAGTATCATACAGGATATATATAGGAGGAAGAAATGAATGGAAGCGGACCCGGGCCGGAGGCCGAAGGGTCCGGACGCAAACAAGAATAAGGAGCGGGGTTGGCCGCATAGCAGCCGGCAATGACCGAGGGTCAAAACAAACAATAACAGATAAATAAAGGAAAGAGCGTAGGGCCACAATAGTGGCGATGGTATCATAGCAGCGCCGGACTCGGAGTTGGGCCGGGGTTGGGTGCGGGAATGGTAGCGGCCCTGTAGGGGCCGAGTGGGTGGGGTAGAGGAGTCGCGCTGGGCACGGTGCCAGAGGCGGACTCAGGGCGGGAAGGTCGGTGTGGCTGTGGGGGAGTTGGCCAGGTGCAGGGGAGCCTAGGGGCAAGCAGGGGAGTGAGCAGGGAGTCCTCAGGGAAGATAGGGCTGAGGTCGGGGCTTGCGCTCACGCTCGCATAGCGGGAATGGGCTCGGGCGGCATCGGGATGGGTGGGGAGCGGGCCGGAATGCACGGCCGTGACATACACCCACTTAATAGTGGATAGGTGTTGTTGTCCAGGAGCCACAGCATGTTGAGATAATGGTCCGACAGCGAAAGAAATATCCAGGCAGGTACTGATCACTGCATACATTAGTGACCCAAGCATCGATTGGTAAAGTGTTTGATCAATTTCTGGTGAGTTTAACTTTTCAAGTTTCAAATTTGCGGCCATTGGGGTACTCATTGGTCATGCTTTTTCCAGCCTGAATCGTGTGAGGATGTCAGTGACATATTGTTGCTGGCTTATCATAATAGTACATGCACATAAGGTCGGGTTTCATTTCGATTTTAAACTATGGTAGGAGTTAGGGAATACAGTCAAGGTTTATATGAAGAAATGGTACATTGATAGCATGAATATCCAGAGCACGATGCCAGCCACAAGTTTCAGCAAGTGGTCCACAATGGTGCCTTTCTGGGTTCGCAAGAATGTGTTGGACTGTGTGCACAGGCACTTGTGTTGCCACTGAGATTTGTGATACACTCATAGTCTCAGACATTGTAATGAGGACGTCTTTAGCTGGGGCTTTGAGGTGTTTACCCATGATGGTGATTGCAGTGAACATGGTCAAAGGGCCTGCCATATTTGGTCTGAGTGAAGTGGGTCCCATTGGGACACACTGATGGGCACCCATCATTTCCCTAAATTGTCCTTCACTGAGTTGATCCCAATATGTGCTGTAAAATTAGATGTGCTGATTTTTTCTTCAGCTTGCTGTAAGTTGTGGGCATTGATAGCATATTTTTATGAATTTTCATTTGGAGTTTGAAGCCTCTAGAAGTTGACTTCCAGCTTGTCTAGCATCATTTCCCTATATCTCACTCATTTCTGGATGGTTTCTTGTGTTCTTTACACCAATAATTCCGACCTTTCTATTGATACCAAGGTCATACTCTAATTCTCAATATTTGCCAAGATAGCAAAAGTTTGTGCACACTGTCAGCAATCACATGTGTTGTTCCCATGTGTTTTTGTATGCAGGCAATGTTTGGGTCTAATTATTTCAGCTTTATTGTATGCATGGATGTTTGTTACCTTAATATGGGCTCTCATGATTTATTATAGAATCTTTTGTTGTGTTCTAAGGTGTTTTTTGCATCTACTGTGCTTTGTTTGATCAGAGGTTTCCATATTTGGGCAGAAACTGGTCTCGGGATCTCCTGAAGTGCAGATCTCAGTTCCCATGTGTAAGATTGATAGTAATCATGGGTGGTATCCACCCAAAGCATGTAGCTCACTTGTGTGGATTGCCTTATTCCCAGTCTGTCAAGAGTATAGCTATAATCAGCTATATATTTCAATGGGGGAATAGTTTGGCTGAAGAGCCGTTTTGACACCCCACACCACTTTATATACATGAGTTTGATGTACACCATAGTTGGCATACACATGCAGCTTGGTAAATAATGGACAAGTATGGAAAAGCACACTGTTACAATAACTTAAACAAAATGTATATACAAGATAAATCAATTGAACAAGAAATAAAGAAGCATGCATGGCCTCTCCAAGCCTCACACCATGGTGGCATCACCACCCTCACATGTCTTTTGACATAGTGTGGAATACCTTGATTCCTGTCACTGTTATAACTTCACAACAGCTGGGCCGATTGGCTTGAAACTTGCGTAGTGCTAGAACTTGATTTATCATATTTTTCATGTAAATTTCGTTGGGTGTTTCTAATATGGATTCTTCATGAATGTCGGTTTTTCCCTGAGCTTTGACTCCAATGTTGCTTTACTGTCTGGTGAATATCTTCATGATGTGTGAATCTTTTACTATGAAATTTTGCGTGCGTTGAGAATCGATCTCTCCCTTTCCAATGAGCTATCAAACTCGTCTTGGTCGTTACTGGCCATCCTTCATGCTCATTTTGAACATTGTCCTTGTTGTCAACAAACTCACAAACTCTTGATAGGTGTTCATCCAATGTGGATGAAGAAGTGGGTTTTGGTCAAACAGTAGGTCTGGCTTGAACCAGTCAAGCACCATGCCCTTGAGGTAGGACTGTGCGAAGATGACCTTGGCATGGTCACTAGCGAAAGCAAGAGGGTGGTCTTGAAAGTTCAGTTCACACTGGACCAAAAGTTTGCAGGGTTTGGTTCTGTCAAACTGTTTGGGCTCACAGACCTTAGTCTGGAGAGCAGAAGATGGTGGGGGAGGTGGACGACTGGCATGGCAGGCCAGCCTGGCAATAGCTTGAGCCAATTGGGTGATGGCTACATTGGGGATAGGCTCAGCCACATCAATGTCTGGGGCAATGGGGATGGGTGGATTGTCTGGAGGTGGGTTGGTGAAGTCAGGGACCTTGTTAAAAACCCCGGAGGTTGTGGAAGAGGGGGTAAATGCGTGAGTCCGAATGCAGGCGGGGCTCAACTAGAGGGGGCTCCGAGGGCTCCGGTAGTGAACCGAAGCTTCTCAGGGAGCCCGGTTCTGCTGGATGGTACAAGAGGCTCTAAGAAGGACGCGGCCTCAGCGACTCGGAGGGAGCGCTGTGCCTCCGTTACGTCTCAGTTAGTCCTTGTATTTCTTATGTCTGAGGTGTCTTGTAGAACAGGGACAGGAATCACTCAGAGGGACTTTGGGTGGCATTTTAGTCGAGATTAGAACTAAGGAACTACAGGTTCTAATCTACGTGTATTTATAAAGGAGAATGGGGAGGACTTTAGTCAAAGCCCGAAATGACAAAATGGGGAAAACACCGAAAGGTTCCGAACGATATCTAAAACGGGGAACCGAGGTGTCGGGCCAAGGAGGGCGGAGTTGGAGGCCGGAAAATGAATGGGGAAGACAAATGGATAAAGGGGGTTAGCCGACTGAATGGTAGTAAGAAGGTAGTCGTGCTAAGAATGGGAGATGACTAATAAGTGATAACGTGAGGGAGATCACCGAAGGATGCAAGTAGCTCTGAAAGCGGAGTTGCGTATCCGAAGGATGTTGGGTGACTCAAATAAATGAAATGGGTGGAGGAAGGGTTTAAGGGCATGTCACGGGATGTCGGAGGTCCGTCAGGATATCGGAGCAAATCCGGGATCTCCGAATGTTCCGACTCGGGACCGAGGTTCCGGGATGGGAGTGGCCAAGGTTCGGTGTGCCGCAACCAGACCGGAGCTGAGACAGTCAGGAGGGAAGGTGACTTGGAGAGTGGGGAGGCAAGGTGTAGGGGATGGTGAAGTTGTTAGGAAGGTGTGATGTGGTGGGAGTGCGCGGGGTCGGGATTCCGGGATATGACAGACCTTGGGATCAAGTCCATCAAAGTTGACTGGGTCAACAGGGTGCTTGGTGTTGTCTCCGAAGTTGGGGTCTACAACAGATGAATGGTCCCTAGGAAGGTGCATGATTGGAGTTGAGGAGATGTCAGAGACCAGATCGAGACGAAGGAAGGTCTCCATGGCAGAGGGCTTTGGCCTCAGCGACTTATGCCAGGAGCACTGTGCCAAGTAACACATCTGTGCCCTAACTTACTAACTGGCAACCAGAACTAAAAGGGGGTAAACTCTAGTCGATTTTATTACTGAGGTGTAACCTATGTACAAGTTGAGTATATATAGTTACAACGAGGGCTGGCCCATAAATGGCGGGGCTGAGCGGAGCGGAGCTAACGGAGTTAAACATTAGCTGATTGAATATTACCGACAAGCCAGGTTATGGGGTTAGCGGAATGGTAGGCGATAACCCAGAAACAGAAAGGAGGGATAGGCCCGAAGGTGGGCTTGCAGGGCAAGTGAGTGAATTGCCCAGCGGAGGTGGGAGTGCACTAGCGGACGTCAGAGCTGTCTGGAAACCTTGGGGCTCCGTACTTAGGGAGGCATAGGTAATATATTGAAAAGAGGGGGTGGTGACCATTGAAGAGAAGCAGAGGTGGTTGCGGAATATGGGAGCTCCGAGGTTAGTGAGGAAGGAGCGGGGGTAGTCCGGAGAGTTCGGAGGTAGTGGAAGTCGATGGCTGAGTATGGATATGACAGGAGAGATGGTTGTTGAAGTTAGAAAAACTATGAAACTCAGCTGAATCTCTCACTAGTTGACTGGGACCAGGCTGTGAGAGGTTGGGTGGTGGGGAGTTTGAGTCAGGGACTAATGTACATAGTTGAGAACAAGTGTGGAAGACCTTTGGTGCCATACAAGATGTGTGCTGTCAGGGAGTCAGATAATACTGTCAGAAACCAGAGTCTGAAGGGGACAATATGACTCAAGGTTCAGAGGGCTTCAGCCTCAGCAACTCTACCCAGGAGCACTGTGCCAAGCAGTGTGTTGGTGCCCCAACTTACAGATGGAAGAGTCTTCTAAAAAGGGGGAAACTCTTGTTGATTATCTGACTGAGGGTTCCAGTATCTACAAGTATGGTATATATAGATACATGGGAAGTCTAGGCAGGGGCCCATAAATGGCAGGAGCTGGGTGGAGCTGGGTGGAGCCGACATAACAGGGTCAAGGGTTAGTCAACTGAATGTTACCCATGACTCAGGTTATGGGGATAGTGGGCAACAACCCAGAAAGGGAATGGAGGTGGTGGTCTGAAGGCAAACTTGCATGTCCTTAGTGGGGATGGGAGTGTGCTGAAGGAGAGAATGAAGGAAGGACAGTTGGGAGGTTCAAACAAGACCACTGCCAATCTGTTCCCTGGTTCTTTAGTTTGGATGGGGAGTGTCATATCCTGGATCTTCTGCCTCCCTCCACTCTATCCTTACACGACTCCTATGACCTCCACCAGCCCTCCCAATCTCTCTCCACTGCCTCTGGTTGATGCCAACGACCCTAGGACTACCTCCTCCTCCAACTCTCTCCCACTCTGCTACCCACCTACATCTGCAGCACCTCCAGACCTCTACCACCATACCTCCACCTCCCCGGACCCCTTGTTCGAAGGAGATGGGCTTGCTCGTTGTTGATGAATCCCAACTTGTCATTCCATCCTCCTTCCTACCTCCGGTCTCCTCACCTCCGGTACCTCCTCACCTCCGGTACCTCCTCATTCCTATCTTACCTCCGGTCTTGATAATCTTATTGTTTTATCATTTGATATTTTCTACAACCCCAATCTTCTGGACTACAACTTCCGGGCGCCGGACCTTTCCAGACATCCTTCTCTTAGTTCCCTGCTTGTTCATAGACACTTTCAGACCTTGCCATTCAGTTGGCTTTTATTTCTCTCACTCCACAAAACCTCAGATGTAATTCGGGCTTTTTGCCTATTCCTATTTGTCTTGTGGACTTCTTTTATTTACTTCCCCTTCCCCTTGGTAACCTTTGTTTACCTTCGGATCCAATTGTTTCTGCTATATGTACATGTGTACCCCTCTAGTAAATAGTTTTCCCAGTTATAATATAAACAGTCTTCAGCCCTCCAAAACCTCTTCCAGGACGTCTATCGCATCCCACTTGTCTGCTGCTCCGAAGAACTGAGTAACAGGCGCTCCCAGAGATGCCTTGGTATAACACCCAATGAATTGCGTGATGAACAATTGACCCTTGCTAACACCTCCTCCGTTAAGTAGTGAGGGGGGTCCTCCAGCCCCCTTCTGCTGGTGGCTGTCATATCCATCCCCGGCCATCGACTTCCGGTCCCTCCGATTCCTCCGTTCCAACTCCGCTCCTCCCTCACTAACCTCGGAGCCCCCGTTATTCCGCAATCCTCTCGGTACCCCTCGATGGTCACCACCCCCTCATTTCAATTGATTACCTACGCCTCCCTAAGTACGGAGCCCCGAAGACTTCCGGACAGCTCCGACGTCCGCTAGCGCACCCCCGCCTCCACTGGGCAATACACTCGCCTGCCCTGCAGAGTCCACCTTCGGGCTTATCCCTCCTTTCCGTTTCTGGGTTATCGCCTGCCTTTCCGCTAACCCCGCGAACCGACTCGTCGGTAATATTCAGTCGGCTAATGGTTAAACCCCGTTAGCTCCGCTCCGTTTGGCTCCGCCAATTGCGGAACCGTCTCCGCTGTAACCATATATATATCCCACTTGTACATAGGTTACGCCCCAGTAGAAAAATCAACTAGAGTTACCCCCCTAGGTTCTAATTGCCAGTCAGTAAGTTAGGGCACGGACGTGTCACTAGGCACAGCGCTCTTGGCAGAAGTCACTGAGGCCGAAGCCCTCCGTTATGGAGACATTCCTTCGTCTCGAATCTGGTCTCTGACAGTGGCCTCGGTTCCTCCATCGCCAGCTCCCCTGACAAATGGGGACAACGAGAACATATTGGGTGCAGCACTCTGTTCCAAGTTGCTGAACCCGAGTCCCTTCAACACCCCATCACCCTCAGAGCTCCACACCACCTCTGGTCTGTCTAGGTGTACTAGCAAATCTGGTTAAATTTAGTACTAATCCAAGTGTTTTGGCTAAATATGGTTTATGGGTTAGTCTAAAAGTCTCTTAAAAATGACTTACAGGTGAATCAAACCCTGTTGAGCTGTTCCCTTAGCATAATTTTTCAATTACCTAGGTGTAATTCTGTGTAGGACTGCTGAAATTGAATTTTAAACCTGAAATGAATCTTCCACTTAGTGAAATTTTCAAAGATTTATCCCATGGATGGTCTTAGATTGTGTCTGAAGTGTCCCTTGGCCTCCTCTTATTTTATTATATTTTTATTGCTTGTTTTAACAGTAGTGATATAATTGTTTTGTTTACACTTTTTGAAATCTGGAGTGTTAACCAGCGCTCCTTAGAAATGTTTACTTAATATTTCCCTCCTTCATTTCTGCCTTTTACTACAGTGGCAATCTTAACTGTATATTCACTTTTTTGCACTGGAGTGATAACCAGAAATGCTTGAGAAAAATAAAACTCTATTTTCTTACTTCTCTAAGGGGGCATAAAGTTGCAGAAAGGATCTCCTTTTATACTCCTTAGGTTGGCTTCCATTTTCACGCTCTACCTTGTATTTACAAGATTTATGTATAGTACATTTTCCTCAAACTGAATAAAACATGAATTTTTCATGCTGTAGTTTTATTGCACTTGACTGTGGCCCTGCTGCATTCAGACTGTGCCTAGAATTCCTATTGTTCTTGTCATATCCATACAATCCCAACCTCCACTCCAGGCTCCCAGAACTCCGAAACTTACTCCGGAGCCCTACTTCCCTTCTGTCACCCTCTCCTTGCTGACTCCCAAGAGCTCCAGCTCTGACATCACCTTCGGTCCGACTCCAGAACATTCTGGGTCCAACCTCAACCTCGACACCTTCCAGACAAGCATGCAACACCTACACTCCCAACTCCGGACCTCCGCTCCGGAATCCTGTTTGTGTCTCCATCTCTGGAACCTCCGGTCTCAGCTCCAACCTCGGACTTTGACCCCACCTCCACTTATACCCATTGTATTGGTTAGCTCATTCCATTTATACCTTTGCCAATATTCTGGAGTTTAACTTTCAGACTTTCTGGACTTACTTTGGACCTTGCAACTATTGCATTGTCCTATTCATTTCCGCTATTCCTCATTCCTATTTGGGCTGCTGCTTCCTTTCTGTTCAGTCAGCTAGCCATTCCCCACTCCCAACCTCCTTTCTTCCTCGGGCCTTGGCCCTTCACTCCTCCTTTGGGAAACACCATTGAGTCAAACTCTTGACCCTTGGTGTTGTTCCTCCTTCCAGCTCCCTTTGTCTCCTTTTGGAGTACCTTTGGTCCTTTTGATTCCGGACCCCTCCTTATGTACAATGTACCTAGTAACTTGTAACCTCAGTCTGAAATCGACTTGATTCCCCCCTAAGAGACATCCCCTCTGCTAGATCCGAAATTAGGGACCCCCAGGACAACCAGCAATGGCACAGCGCTCCGCATGAGTCGCTGAGGCCAAGGTCCTTCCATGCTAAGTCTCTGATTCCACTCCGGAGTCATCTGAACTTGCCGTATCTAACAGTTCTACCTTGTGTTAGAACTGGGTGAGGGCGGACAATTCTGGAGGGGAACCGGAGACTTAGCAAGGAGGGACCTTGGCCTCAGCGACTCAAGCGGAGCGCTGTGCCATTGCTGTTTGTCCATTTGGTCCTTAATTTCATAGGTGGCAAGCAGGAAGTCTGTAGGGGGTATTTCAGGTCGATTTTAGACTAAAGGCCTAAAATGAGTATGTACAAGCGCTGTAGGCGGGATAATCGCCCACGCACAGACTCGGCTCGGATACCCACTTCCACGATCAGAAAACAACTTTCATTCACGCGACGACTCGGTACAAATTCGGTATCCAAATTTAGTCCTAATTCGTACGATTCCGACGGTATCAAAAACGTCCCAATCGGTGAAGATTTGACGGAGTTCTATGTTGGGCAAGTTAGGCACGGGCATGTGCGGGCGTGGGAATCTCAAGCAGCAACCCAGAATTCCAGCCTCACTCGTTCCCACGGCGTCTAATAAATTGGTAAAAATGCTCATTGGCTGCATAATAGTTCT